CAGCTGGCTCTCCATCCCACCACTGCCCTTGCCCGCCACCGCTCCCAAGCCTGGCATGATGCCGAAACCTCACCAACGATGGGGCTGCCAGTCATAAAACCCACACCCAGTGCCCTGGAGCCATCAGAGCCAGGCAGGACCTAGGGAAACAGGGAAGAGATCAAGCCACCAGCCTACAGGGCATGACCAGTAAGAAATAGCAGACAGAAGAACTGTGGCCAGGCTAAGAGGGTGGACAGGGGAGCCACTGAATACCACACTTGGCTAGTGTGAAGCCTCTCTGACCCTGCTTCACCTAAGTCTGGCAGGAAGAAAACACCAGTGACCATCCCTGCAGGCACTATCAGCTCCTGCCTGTGCCAAAACAGCTGTGTCCGAGAGCTGCTTGTTTCTTAAGTCTGCATCAAAATTGCTCCTTCCCACTTTGCAGTACCGGGGAGGTTGTGGTCTCTCCCCGCCATCCAAATCCCTTCAACTTTTTTGCTTTAACTTGTTTAGGATTGATGCTGCAAAGCTGCTTCCCCCCAAATAAAGAGTACAAGAGCTGCCATATCCTCAAGTGCTTTGAAACCTTTCCTTCTGCTCTGTCACTACTTGTTTAAGAAAAACCTCAAAGCTTGATTTCTTCCCTCAAACCACTTACTCTGAAGAGAAGCTCAACGTTTTTGGGAGCACAGATAAAAAAGCACTGAGATAAAAGTTTGAAGCTTCTGAAGAGGTTAGACCTGGGCCTCTTTGCTGTTATCTAAGGAAGGGTACAGGCACACAAACAAGTCATTGAGGAGATATAGAGGAGTAAAAATTTGCAGTGACTCATGCACTCTGAAGTAACTGCCATGTGCTCACTTCTACCCCCCAGCAAAGCACAAGTTTATTCACCCATCAACATGAGAAGCACAAACCAGCATCTCAGATTGCCCAGCACCTCCTGCAGCTTCATCACCTAAATTACTCCAGAAACCTCCTCTTCTGCCTGTATTTCAAGCGTTATTAAGACAAAAGATAATTTCAATGACAATCTGGAAAATACTGCTGTGTCCTGCCAGTGGTGATGCTGTGTTACTGGGATGCTGCTTTACTCCACCTGCAAATTCTTTGCTGTCCTTAATTTCTTTAAAAAGTGAAGGAACAGCCCACGTACTTCTCACAGCCAGCAGCAAGCAGGCCAGGACCCTGATAATATTGCCAGTCAGGCGTGCATGGTCCCCAGATCCCCCATTTATTCAATCCAGTTTTGTAACTCTTGTTTTCATTATGCCTAAGCGTCTTCCAAATTCAACCACATAGCCAACGTTTCACCAGCTGCTTTGGAGCCCTGTGCATGAAGTTTCCAAAAGCAGTCCAGTCTTCCACCACTACTGGAAAAATTCATTTCACTCAACACCAGCTGCCTAGCCCAAGTATAACATCTAGGCTCTCTTTAGCCTATTTAGAGAAGGATGCATTTCATTTAAACAAAGATGGGCTGCTCTCCAGATTTGTTCCTCTCCGTCCTCTAATGACGGATATTGCCTCAACATCTACCTTAGGCAACGTTCCTGGCGTTAGATGAGTGGGAGGCCACTCGTGCAATCTTCTAAAAATCTTTTCCCTCCACTGTGAGTAAAAGAGCATGAACTAGCCTCAGCAATTTCATGTCAGCCTCAGGGAACTGAACTCTGAATGCAAACAACAGAGTTGCAGACTTTGTACATGTGCTAATCCTTTCTCATAAATCAATCACAAGGCCGTGGTTCCCCAGCATCCTTAAGTGCTGCACCCATTTATTTTGCCACCTCTCTAAGCACCTGCAACTCACTCTGAGATGTCTTAAATTCTTCCTCCTAACAAATCTCAAGGCCCCAGTGTAACCCCTTCTCCCCAATGGTCTAGCTCAAGAGTTGTTGAGAAGAGAGGTAGTGAGATGCAGAAAGACTTATTTCTGAAGCAACTGAAGTAAATTGAAAATTGGTGAAATAAGCTAAGCCTTGATACACATTTCCCTGTAGCAGAAAGTCTTTGAACCGCGTTACTGGCCTCATTCCTAGCTTCAGTGAGATTAGCTGCATGCCTAAGTTCAGATAAGAGTCCCAAAAAGTGCCTGGGGAGCACTTCTCACTTCAGACCATGAGAGTCACCACGTCCTCAAAGTGGTCCTCGATCCTGGTCAAGATACTCATGAACAAAAAGAAACCTCAAGTGGAGACATCAAAAATGGGAGAGAGACAACCAACCATGCTTGCTGTTCACGACATGGATAGAAATATACTTTCAAGCCCAACCAGCACATCTTTGAAGCTCACAAGACTATTTCTTAGCAGCTGCCAAGGCCTGGATACCTAGCCCTCAATGCCGCTCAAATGGCAGGAGCAGAGAAGACATATCCCAGCTGCTTTGCCGCAAGCTGAGATGCCCCGGTGCAGACAGCAGCCCCATGTGCTGCTCCACTAGTGTCCTATCCAGCTCTCCCAAAAACTCCCAGTACCCCCATCACAGGGCTGTAGCACCCAGGTGAGAAGCCCTTACTTCAGCTCTGCCCTCAAACCACCGGACACAAGAACTCAAAGGTCCCAGAGTGGCAAGTCTAAAACCAACACTGCTCCAAACCCATCCGTTTTGCACATAAAAGGAGAGAACAGGGATGCTAATAAACCTGCCTCTCTACAGGCTTTGCTGCTGCCAAAAAAGAGCCACTCAATCTAATGAGTCAATTAAAAATTCATAACTGGATGAAAGAAATAAAAAAAGTTTGGTTCTGTTTCTGAGAAAATGAGAACAATAACTCATTTAGTTCTCATGTACCTCTTCTTGCATATTGTCTGCAGCAACAAAGTCAGCCTGACAACTCACGACCTGTAGCTGAGCGCTAAAATGACAGGGGGGAAGAAGAAAAAAACCAAACCAAATGGTGTGTGCTCTGCTCAGTCCTGCAGAGAGGAGTCCGTTTTTCTGGCAGGACTTCAGGGGCTGATGGGGCTGCAGCCAAGCAGCCATTCATGTAAATGTGAGCCAGAGGGGAGGCTCTCCCTAAGTTCTTATCCTCTACAGGTCATCACAGGGGGCACTTTGGAAAATTTCGTTTCTGTCAGAGTTTGGCTAAACGAGTGCTAACACCTATGCAGATATGTATATTCAAAACACAAGTGACCCTGAGCCACTTCTGAAGTGATTTTTCAGAAATAAGTTAAGCTAAACCAAATTAAGGCCCAAAAATCTGAGTACAGGCATCCATGAAGGGGCATAATGTGATTTAACTAATCCACTAAAGTTACTTTAGATCAATTTTCTTGAGCACCCCAAACATATGTAAGCCCTGAAGTCAATGTCCTCAAAGCACTATCCATGAGTGACTATTAAGTCCCAAAACTTATACACTTTGCACCTGCGGCAAGGGTAGGACAGAGCAAAAGGATACCAACCCAGCAAAGCCCTAGGTGGGCCACAGAAGCAGCTACTGAGTTATGGTTAAAATCTGGAGGTCCCTGGCTCTCTAGCCTCCAGGGGTAAGTGGCAATGTTGCTCCCTGCTGCCCTGTCCCGTGCTGTGCCTCACACCAGCAGCTGACACAGGTACTCTAACACTTGCTCTAACAGGTCTCCTGCAAGGATCCCAGCTCATGGGCTGTTTTTTCCCTGGCAAAGCAACCCAGCTGCAAACTCCGACTGCCACAACCCCACCCTGCCCCCAGGCACTTTTTTTTTTTTTCACTGGGTGTTGGTTTTCAATGGGTTTCACTCCCTAAGTGACTTTACAGTGCTGAGTCAGACTTGTTTAAACTAAAAGGGGGACCCACAAATCTGGGAACATGAAGCAAATCACGGAACTACCAAAAAAAAAAAAGAAAAGAGTATTCAAAAATCTACCATCCCAACTGTTCGTGGACATCACAAGGGAAAGCAGGCACCTAAATAAACGCCTGCACCCAGGCTGCTGGGTTTCGCCTGGGAGAGTGGCTGAGGTTGTAGTTCTGAAGGGAAGGAGCCAAGCACACAATCTGGAGGCAAGAAGCACAACCCAAAGGAGGGCTATTGCGATTTAAATTCACACCTTGGCTCCTTTCACAATGGGCTTCCTGTGTCAACACGGCTTGAACTGGCAACACCCTGACTGGCTAGCACGTTTGGATAACACCAAAGAACATGCAGGCTCATGAACTTCTCCTAAGGAAAGCAAGCATGCTGTCCGTGAGCTTAAATTTGCTAGAGGGGTGTCTGCTACAGAGGAGCTCTTCTAGGAGTCCTTTGTCCAAAGAGTTTGACAGAACTCTTTTTTTTTTTTTGAGTGCTGTTACCTGAGTTAGAGACTTCAAATCCAATCCTATTTTGAGATACAGAAAGCAAGCTGAAGCTTGAAAAGATCAAGGAGCTAGTCACAGAGATGCCATGGAAATATTCCAGATTTTAGAGAACCTGTTTTCAATTTTTCTAACACACACAAAAAACAACCAAACCAGCTCACCCACACTGATCTACAACAGACAGCTCAATCTGATCTCCAGGATCTGATCTCTCATTCTAGCTCCAGGACACATTCAGCACTACCCTCTGCTAAGAGCCTGAAGACGATCATCTCTCCTGTTCCCTTTATGTACTGCTCATTATCGTTCCTCTCTTCGCCACTCTGCTATTTTGCCACCTTTGGCACACAGCTATCTCCTCTGCAGCTTGTGCCATCTGGAGCAGTCTCCCTACCCCTCTCTCTCTGCATAAATCAGTTCCATGTCCCTCTTGCTTTCAGCCACAGTTTCAAAAGTTCCTCTCCCTGACTGTGCTGCCTGGTGTCTCTTCTTTATAACGGCCTTATCACTAGAGAAGACCTGGTGTTTCCTTTGTCTCTGTACAGCGATTTCCTGCAATTCACACCACCATGTAGCCTGCTCTCTGCTCTTACTCTCCCTCACCAGCATTTTTTCTGACAGCCTATGCGGACTACACTGCACACAGTGGGTCCATGGGTTTGTGCTGCTTGCTGACCGTGAGATGCCCTGTTGCCCCAGCCACGCCGTTAGCAGGACAGCTTACCCACGAGGTTCATCTTGGCACTGTAACTCCCAAAGTACCTCTCGTCGGTGTTGGGCGTGTGGCACTCGTACTCCCCGGCATCCCGGTCCTGCAGCTCGGTGATGTGCAGCAGGACGGCGTCCCCCTGCACCCGCTCCACGTAGATCCCCCGGCTGCGCACGCGCTGGGTGTAGATGGCGTAGGGGAAGGAGGGGTCCACGGTGCTCACGATCTGCACCTCCCGCTCGGGGGCCGAGGGCAGGTAGATGGACCACTGGAAGTTCTGCTCTGCTGGGCCCTGGTAGCCGCTCACCTTGCACCACAGCGTGATGTGGGACCCCTCTGTGCGGTAAAGAGGTCCTTCCTGCACCTCCACATGTCGCTGGGCCAAAGCCACACCTGTAGGAGGAGAGGAGCCCAGCGTTACTTCTCGGCAAGCAGCTGCCACACCACCCCCCAGAGGTACCCACCCTACCCCTTCCATGGCCATGCTCCAGAAGGCGAGACCTGATATTCCATTTTAAACCTGGCACATTGGGCTCTGGCACAGAACCCCTCAGCCATGTTGCAAGCTTTCTTCTTGACTCAAGGGAAGAGTTTTTTAAAACACCTCATGAAAAGAAAAAAGCAGTGTTAACATAACCCCCTTCTTTGATACTGGTAAGAATCCAGGCACGAGGAGGTACTGCATGTCAAGGCAACAAATCAGAAACTCAAGGCTTTGTTTTCAGCACTGCTTGTATTTTTCAACTCCATCACCTTGTGATGTCAGGCATAGGTTGCTGTCAGAGGGCATTGCGAGGTGGCATACGGCTGCTCCCCAGCAGCCCAGTGTCACCACTGGGACTCTCTGGTTTGGCAGCGACTCCCTGCCCTCCTGGCACAGCCCAACTGGGACCGTCTTCCACCAGGAGAAAATCCCATTTGCAAGCCAAGGGGTTATGCTGCTTCTCCTTGGGTTTCCACACCACTCAATGGCAATGGCATAAGGATTAACCCTTCATCAGCAAACGTGCTGGAGGCTTCAGCTGGTATAAAATCCCTTTTTTCTCCCCCCAAACCCAGCATGCCCTCTCCAATCTCTCTGTTACGCTTGCAAAGGCATACAGGAAAATACCATGTTTATGGCACTACCTTCCCAAGTCTATTCAAAAGGATTGTATTTAGTACATAACAAAACCAATTAAAGTTAATGGAGGGAGTGGGCATATTACACTACGACTTAGTGCCGCTGGCTGCTGGAAATCGAGACCCAGCACTGCGCCTTGTACACACGCAAACTCTTGCAGCACAGAACAAAGACAACCCCGCAGCACGGCGACCGCGATCTGCTGTATTTTTACACAGATTATGGATGGCTGGCCCTTGGGCTCATGACACATTACCAGCACAGCCCTCCGGGGGCCAGATAAATTACAGCAATCTATCTTGTTTGTTGCTACATCAAAGGCTGGAGGTCTGGAGACCACGGTGGGTGTTCATCGGTTATTGAGTTACCAGCAGCATGCGCACATGGCGAGGCCAATCAGCCCGGCTCCTGTGACTGCTCGCTTGCCATCATAAAACGGCAATAAGCCGATTTAAAGCAGGTCCCGCATAATCACGTTTGCAAATTTCATCCTCTGTGCGCGTGTGCACCTTGGGGTTTTCGCCCCCACTCTATGATTTTCAACAACAATGTTCAAGTCCAGAGAAGAAGTTAACCTTGGAAAAACTTGCAACTTGAAGGTGGAAGAGGTAGCCTGGCATCTAGGGGATTACTGACTCAATCCAGCCCTCTGGACATGAATGTCCAGATACAAAGTTTTTTCTCCACAGTCAGCCTGGACTGGAGCCAGCAGAGATGGTTCTTACCAGCTTAAAACAAATTGTGAAAAATGAGTTCAGCACATCCATCAGGCGATGCAGCTGAACAGATGGAGTGCAATTCAAACTATTAACTTGCGCTCAGCTCGCTGCTGCTCCAAATTATGTTTCTTTTTACTCTTTATGAAATAATGTGATTTAAGGGGAGGACAGGAAAAGCTAGCACGTTCAAAACAAACAGGGAGAAGAACAACAACAGCAAACACTCCCCCACTGTTTGCTACGCCAATCTCTTCATCCTGGGGAAACATACCACTAGAGACAACGAACAGATCTAAGGCGCAGGCAGCCTCTTCTCTCACCCCATAAAGGCCAAGGGACAAAGCAAATACTACAGCCTTTGAAGTGAACTGGTTTTAAAGCAGCAGGAAGGGCAAGATCTTTATTGCATACCCAAAGATAGCTAATAAGACAATTTTTGTACACCCGTGCTAGAGCATCCAGATACCCTGCATGCAATGACACAACTAAAATTGCGTCACAAGGCAAACATGTAGCAGTAGGAATTAGAACTTGCACACACGACATTCATTCAGGTGTTTCTCAAATGAGCGCACAACCTCTTTTTGCAGGCTTTCAATGTAGCGCGCTTTTTTTTTAACACAGGAATTCTAGAAGTTTTCCAACTATCCAGTTAAAAACCGTAATTTTGTCAGAGACACATACTGTCCCCTCCAAAGCTCACTCACAAGATCACGACCTTGGGGACCTACAGCACACATCTCTGCACCCTGATGCATGCAGCCTTTTGATACGTGTCAAATTCCACCACCTTCATGGCCACTACTAATGTGGCTTCCTTCTTCCCTCATCAGCGGCTTCTGGCCCCTTCCCTGTAATGCTAGAACCCGGAGTCCCACTCCAGGTTCAGAAGACACTCAATTTCTACACTCCTCCTCTCCTATACCCTCTAGCACTGGATACCTGCACCTTCCTGATCCAGCCAAAAGCAAGAGAACTAAGAGCTGAAAACCTCCTTTGCTTCCCATTCTGGCTCCAGGAGCCCAAGCAGCTGAGAGACAGAAGAAGCCGGTGCAGAAAAAGCCTGGCCCAGCTCCAGCAGGGAAGGAAGACAAAACAGTCAAGGTTTTGCTACAACTTGCAGCATGTTTGCTGCTCAGTCTCATAGAGGTGGGACACAAAGATTTAGCAGTTGGACGAATTGGGCGGATCGCTAATTTTCATCTTGTATTTAACATGAACAGTACACATATTTGCTTTTGTGTTCTAAGATTGTCTGTATTCAAACATAAATTTGATGTTGTGCTGAGGGACATGGTTTAGTGGTGTTGACAGGGCTAGGACAAAGGTTGGACTTGATGATCTTGAAGGTCTCTTCCAAACGAAACTGTTCTGTGATTCTACAATCTCCAAAGGGCCAGGGAGCTGCACAGCCGCAGCGCTTTTCTTCCTGTCTAGCTGCAAACTCCTGCTCCCGCAGGAGGCACAAGTGATTTTCGACACTTAAACCCACAAAGCAGAAGCAAGGATACTTCCTCGATAAATCACTTTAACTGAGAAAGGTAAGGAGAAAACCAATCAGCCTAAGACAGACATCTACCACTACAAGTTTTCTCCTCAAACAGTTAAGTTTTTGCACAGTGAAGGGTGTTTGGCAGTTGTCAAGCTCTGGGAATTGCTATTTCCATGAACACACAGTATCAAGAAAAGAACTGCATTTCTTAGCAAGCAAGCATTCTGATTAACAAAAATAATGCGCTCGAGATCCCATTTTAAACTCTTATCTCTCTCTCTCATAGTGAGAGAAGAGCTCACTGGAGGAGGAGCTGTGCGCTCGACACCTCCCCTAGGACGCCCAGGAGACAGTTATGGTGGCATTTGGCTGGTACTTCACTGGCACAGCTGGCTTTCAATTGCAAATCCAATATAATTTACTGGCAATGCTAGAGCTGATATAAAGGGGGTAGCAAGTCAAGAGCTACTTTAAAATTAGTAAGAAATGATAGTTTTGCATATCTTTTTTAAAAGAAATTTTTCCCAAAGGCAGCAAATCCTCTGCGATAAGGAGGAAGTCTTCTCTGATCCTTATCCCCTACAGATGAGGGCTATTGTTGCTGGACTTTTGAGCTAAGAGCCAAACAACAGCCAGGCAGCTCACAACACTTTCCACCGGCTTATCCATCCTCTGGGCCCTGTTTTGGGAGCCAGGAGGTACATGGGGGCAAGAGGAGGTGGCAGCAGCCAGAGGGGATGCTGCAGCCAGGCAATTAGAGTCAAGGTCATACAGCAAGCAGACTGTGTGGTATTTGGGCACCAGCAGATGGCTGGTGCCAGTGCCCCCCCACACCAGCCTGTCCAGAAGGCTCCAGGGCCACAGCCAACGTCATGTGAAGCGGCTCTGAAAGGCAGGTGAAAGGCAAGGGAGAAACACAACATTAGAGTCACTCAGCCACTCATGTCTCCCTTGTCCTACCACAGCCAGGACTTCAATGCCTCTCCATTCAGTCTATGGGCAAGAAAGGAGCATCAAGCATCCCTGTCAGCCAGGCATCTCACCCAGAAGCACTGTAGCTCAGCTTTGATTTTGCAAAATCTGCACCCTCCCAGTAACATCAGCTGACTACACCAAGATCCGGCCTTTCCATGGAAAGACATGCAGAGCTCAGGTCTTCCAGACATGACTGGTTATTTCAGGTGCCTGATTTGAAAGACTTTGAAGATGCCCCATTTCAGACAGTGCCAAACATGTACTCACTGTGAAGGAGGTGGACTTCCAGGTCCCCTTCAGAAGAACAGGCATGCAAACCTGTATTTGGTCAATTACATCCTGAGCTGCATCAGGAGAAGCATGGCCAGCAGATCAAGAGAGGTGATTCTGCCCCTCTGCTCTGCTCTGGTGAGACCTCACCTAAAGTGCTGTGCTCAGCTCTGGAGCCCTGAGCATGAGAAGGACATGGACCTGTTGGAGCAGGTCCAGGGGAGGGCCATAAAGATAATCAGAGGGCTGGAACACTTCACCTACAAAGACAGGCTGAGAGAGTTGGGGTTGTTCAGCCTGAAGAAGAAAGGGCTCCAGGGAGACCTTACATCAGCCTTCCAGTCCCTGAAGGGGGCCTACAGGAAAACTGCTGAGGGGCTGTTTGCAAGGGCATGTAACGCTAGGCTATGGTTTTAAAATACAGCAGGATAGATTTAGATTAGATATTAGGAAGAAGTTCTTTACTATGAGGGTGATGAAACACCACTACAGGTTGCCCAGAGAGGTGGTGGAGGCCTCATCCCCGGAAGCATTCGAGGTGAGGCTTGATGGGGCTCTGAGCAGTTTGATCTAATTAAAGATGTCCCTGCTCACTGCAGGGGGTTTGGACTAGATGACCTTTAAAGGTCCCTTCCAACCCAATGCATTCTATGATTCTATGAATATTGATTCAAGGCTTATCACAAGGGATAGGTGAGTACAATAAAAGAAAGGATGGCTGTGCACATAGAAACTGTGCCACAGCACTGACACACCAGAAGAATAAATAAAAATTAGGGACAGAATGACGAGGAACCTCCTGACCAAATACTCA